GAATATTCGCTCTAGATAAAATATCTCCTCTTTAATTAATTCATTAATTACGCACCTCTGTTCACTTTAATATATATATATATCTTCATTATAATTTACGTATACATATATTATATATTATCGTTAACGCGATGAATTTTCATCGATTTCAAATTGTACATTTTCAAAGTGTATATTTTTAACAATAGTTCGTTCTTTTTTTTTTTTCATTTCCTCAACACAATTTTTCTTTTTTTTTCTCCGTTCTGTTGGACGAAAATCGAAGAGACGTCGTCGCTTCCGGCGAATATAAATATCTCTCAATACACTCGACTGAACAAAAATGCACTTATTCTCTTAAATACTTTCGTTAATTGGTGTGAACAACGCTCGTCTATCGTTAAATTTCTCGCTAAGCTTATAATCGAAGACACCCCTCCTCTCTGAAACGGTTCCGTTAAATTAACTTACTCCGCTTTATCGAACATCGTGGTAAGTTTTCTTTTTTCTCTTCGCACAACACGTGAAGTGAAAGAAAGAAAGAAAGTAAAGAAGAAACTAACTTGATTTTTGGACACGACTCGACATCGCGAGCTGCTTCGATCTCCGTTCGATCCGTTAATATCAAACATCGTCACGAAATCGCGCGCGTTTTAGAAATAAAAAATACCTACCAATTAAACTAGAATTTTTATATTATCATCGTTAATTCTCGCCTCGGCTCCAGTCTCGAGGGCGAGACGCGTAAAAATTTGCTAGAATCGCAATTCAACTGTTGCAAATATACAAGTGTTCAACCTAATCCTAAATATTTGAACGCGAACAGCGTTTGTTTTCTTCTCTTCGGTACGTTCACAGTTCGCGATACGATAATCGATAAACACAATGCCTACGAAAAAGAACGACGATAAGCTGATTCTTGCAATGGTAAAAATTCGCGAAGGAAGAAGCATCGAAACACAGCGGAATCAAGGCACTCCCGGCTTCATTGCACCCCGTTCCCCCCCACTTCCTGTCCAATCTGTAGAACTAGGAAGACAACACGATCCAAGGACTCGTTAGGAAAAATCTTTGTCGCGGATGAACGCACTCGATCCGCCACGCGAGGAAGACTTTACAGGAATGTAAAGGAATTGCACTGTTCCCTGGAATATAAGCCTGTCCCACAATAACGCCGACTTCACACGACAATTCTACTCGACTCGTCTCTCATTGACAACGAGAAGAAAAGAAGAAAATAAGAAGAAAGAAGAAAGAAAAACACAATCGTCTTTCTCCCAAATTTCAGTCGAGAGTAATTCGTAGATTCTCGAATAGTTTGAATGGAAACTACATGGTATTCAAGAACACTTGTGATTCGACTGATGATCGATTATAATCGAAGAGGCCTCCAAATTGGCCTCCAGTCTTCAACGAAATCGTCCACCAAGCCTTCGGATCACTCTGACGCAATTGATCAGACTGTCTGAATCTGAACGTCTCTCTTGGTAATGAAGCCTTCGGTTCGTTAAATGTATCAAAACGTCGTACGTTTCTTTCTTGTTTCGTTTATTTTCTCGGGGAACGTTAAGATCTAGGAGTTTTGCAGCTGAAGAAGAGCTTGAAGACGTTGAAGTTCCTTTAAGAGCTCGCGATTCGTGTCTTCCAGGGCGGTTAACCTGTCCCTGTAGGAGGAGTTTTCGTTTGTTAACATGGTCACACGTCTCTCAAGGCCGTCCATGTACTCTTTTTTCTTCCGTCGAGACTCTTGTGCTGATATCTGGAACACGGAGCAATTGAATCATGCTTCGGATGATTTTGTTTGGTAGGTATTCGATGTGTTCGGTTGTTCGATGACGATGATGAGAGATTGTGACGATGACGAGAAGATTTGGGACTCTTTTTTAGTTCTGTGAAAGATGATCGGGACTTGGTGGAAAGTTTATAGGATAAAATGTTCGGTAGAGAGATGAATCTTCGTCGTGGTCGTTTCGAGAATTATCCTTGTGTGACTCCTTTTTTAGACGATGAATCATAAGTGGAGCATACGGAACGGTGAAAAAAATGAACAGCGGTAAAAGTTCGCTTTCGTCATCGGTATATGTAGTCGTTGTCACAGTGAAAACGAGCGACACTCTTGGCGACACATGCGTTTGCATTCACAAAATTTTCGTACGTTAAAAGTTACAAAATCGAACGTAAAAATTTGGATAAATTAAACGTTCGAATTAAATTGAAGGAAATTAAATTTTTACTGTTCGATGTTATGTTGAGAATCGTATTAAAAATTTGTTATCAGTTCGATGTAAATACTTGAATTCTTACAATTTTTTTCAATTTCACTCTCAATATTATTTACAGTGAAAGCTCTCCGTTCAGTGTGAATATTAGAATTTCTACAATTTTTCAAATTGCACCCTCGATATTTTTCATATTTTTAAGCTCACCTTGTTTTTAATTTTCCTGCGAACCTTCTTCAGGGATTTCTCCTCCTGTTTCGTCAACGGTAGTTTGGTGGGCACGGGGTAACCCTCCGCGATCAGTGTCCTCTTCTCTTCTTCCGTCAGCGTTAACACTCCCGTCGACCCTTTCTGCAAAATCAATTTCGTACAACGTCACAATTCGGTCAACCACTCTCTATTCACACTCCAACTTCGTCGTACATAATAGTCTCTATTGAAGTCAAAATGTAATCTCTTTCTAATAAATTAAAAAATAAAAATAAAATACCATTTATAATAATTTCATTTATTTCATTTCAATTAACTACAGAGAAAAATTTGTATAGTGAGCTTAGGAATAAATTTTGATTCGAGGATACTGAACATGTTAATTCATAAAATAATAAATTTATCTACATTGTTAAAACGACTGATTTAAATTCTTTCCAGAAATTATTCTAATCTTTAGTAACATACTTTTTGAAATTTTCCATAATTGGTACAGAGGAAATTTTATTTTTCAATATTAAATTTCAACGTTAATTCACAAAATAATTCATTTCTGTGAATAGTCAAAACGATTGGTTTATATTCTTTCCAAAAATTATTCTAATCTTTAATCGCATAATTTTTCTGTCAAATAGAAAATTATATTTTCCCCTCAAAAAATTTATCATTTATCGTTTCATAACAGTCTTATTGGATTGAGCAGAAAATTCGTGCCAATTTTTAAGTAAATAAGTAAAGTCCATGCTTTAAAGCAATAATTCTTTGCTCTACAAAATATGTATCGTTTTGGCCTATAACTTTTCGCCACTTTTCGGCAATTTGCAAATTCCATTTTGTCAAAAGAATTTCTTTTATTTCTTTTAAGATCGATAATTTAATTTCTAAATTTTACAGATCATTTGTGATCAAATTTTCCTGATAAACCCACCTTCTCCCTAAACATTAGATGCTTTGTTTGCTGTTTTGGTGGTATTTTTCTCTTGTTAGTGAAAAAAAATCATTAAATTCGTGGGAAATCTGCTCTATTTCCCTCCATCTTCAAAATACTATAACTTCGACAAGAAACTTTAGTAATTGACTTCCAAATGAGACGTGAAAAAATTATCTTTCAGAATATACGCCAACTTCGTATGTTTTCAATTTGTTTTATTTGTTCTAACGTATTCAAACACTATCTATCAAAAATCAGCACGAACTTTCTGTCCAACCCAATACAATGGACACGTGTTTAAACAAGATTTATATGCACAGATAATTCTTGAACAAATTATTCGAATCAGTAACAACACGCTCTTCAAAATTCCCTATAACACTGGTCAACACGATTTTTGCCACAAAGAATATTTACACAGATTCTTATGTATTTTTCGGTGCAGAATACGAATCTCAGATTTTTTCCATCACCTATAATTTTTGTATAATAATGCTTTGTGTTACTTAATAAAAACTAAATTCACAGAAATTTTATAATAATAGTATAAATACATATGGTATTCAGAAGAATGAAAACTTAATAGTAAAGAATTTTACTATACACGGTACAGGGCAAATAATAATTTTATTATACGAAAATTTAGGTGCCCTCAAAATTTCATCAGGAGATTTCGTGTATGGAAAAGCGATACCAGAGCAAATCGAGTGCTAATATGCTGACTGATCACTGCTGGACACTCAAATGGCACGTTTCTCGAGCAAAACATTCCAGGAAATCAACTGTTTCGTCGCGCAGGTACGGAACGCATGGGGTCTTCGTTGACCGGGTTTATGGCGCGCACCCACGAGAAGGTTATTTTTGAGAACGAAGACGCTTCGTAGTTCCGCGAAAAAATAAGTAATTTCTTACAGAACAATGCCTTTAGAATTTCGACTTTTCCGCGTCCTCGATAATCGAAGACGTGTCATAAACCAGGTATTACCGAAGGGTCAATCCACACGCGCGTATAACGGCACTCTCGGCCGAGGGTTGACCTGGCGGGAATTTCCGACGCGTCACCGAAGGACAGCGAAGATTCCACGCACACTCCTTCCAAGGAAAAGCGCGCTAAGGGCGCAATGGAAGGGTGGGTGACACTCAAGGGGCACGTTGATTGGTAATTTGTGCGTACGTGAAAAACCAATCAGCGTGCCTTCTGGCACCTGGCGGGGGAGTCACTGAGGACTCCAGAAAAATTCGGGAATCGAGCGAGAGATTGAGAAAAGGTTCCATCGAGCGAACACCGCTAGATCTCCAACCGTTCGAGGAGACAGACACAACACATTCGAAGACCGCAAAGGGTTGAAATCACATGTAAAACCTCATGTGACAAAAGGGGAAAGTAAAATTTCGTAGACCAGTGTAATTTTCTGTAATAAGAAGACAAATGAGCTTTTGCATTTTCCCCAAAAATCTTGCAATGGATGCGCGTTACGTTAACGGCAAATAAGTCTGGTATCGAAACACGATTGTTAAGGTAAGAATGACAAGTTCGAGAATTCGTGTTAATTAGCAGAATTCTAGTTTTGCTTACCGGTTGACAGGAAATCAAGGGTGTGTGGATCGGTTGTCTGGTGGTGTGCGTGGCGTTCGTGACGTACAGCCTGGGCGCCAACAAGCCCCTGAGATTCTGTGCGTGCGCGGAGCTCTGGGAATCTCGGCGTTCCGGCGAGCAGGAAGCGGAAGCGGTGCCCTCGCTGTCGGAGCTCGCGCTGCTCGGCGGCGTCGGCGGCAAGCCCTGCCTGGACGCGCGCAGATCCGCCTGCTTCTCGTCGCCTGCCTCCTCGTTATACTCCTCCACCTCCATACCCTGTTACACGAAAGTTTCACCTCTTTAAAGCATTATTTTCTAGAGAAAAGATGAAAAAAAGGGCAAAAGAGAATTAGAAGATTTGGAAATTTTCATCTGTAGTCTGTTTTGCGAGGGAAAACATTTTTGGAGAATCTGAAAATTTGAGCGTTTGAAGTGTTTTCATTATTTTCCAGAGAAAAAATGAAAAAAGGGACAAAAGAGAATCAGAAGATTTGAGATTCGAAAATTTTCATTTGTAGTTTGCAATGCGGGGGAAAACATTTTTTCAGAATTCGAAAATTTGAGCGTTGTAAATGTTCCTCCGCCTTCACTACTTTATTGCACAAAAGTTTCATCTCTTTAAAGCATTATTTTCCAGAGAAAAAGTGGAAGAAAGAACAACGAAGAATGAGAAGATTTGAGAGTTGCTTTTTGCCTCATTAAACGAAGCTTATCTTCTTAAAATATCATTTTTACAGAAAAAGAAGTATGGAAATTTATCTTATTAGGTTTTATAAATAATTTCCTTCCTTCGTGTGTTTTAAGAATATCATTTTTTTTTTTTGTTTTTGTAAATACACATGTCTGTTTGAAGAACATAACATTTTTGAGAACTTAAGGTGTTGCAACAGGTACACGTGTCTAACATTGGAAAACATTTTTTAGCTATAACAATAATTATATGTTATCTGTTGGAACAAGTGTTCGCACGTCACACGCGTGAATAGTCATGAATCATAGGTATTCGACCTAAAAGTTGCTAGATCGTTTGAACACTTGTTACACTTGTTCAGTTCTAACTGAAACTGCGAAAAAGATCAAACTGAATCCACTCTTCGTCATTCTTGTACATTAAAAAGGACACCAAAGGTACGCACATAAAATTAAATATGCAATCGTCAAATTTTCCTAATAATTCAATCGCTGAACATTACTTTCAAATAAATTATTATACAATTGTATTTCTTCAAATCGAACAAAATGTTTAGCATTCTTAATTTCTAATTGCATTTTTTCAAGTCGAACAAAATGTTTTACATTTCTAACTGATAATTGCATTTTTCTCAAAGTCAAACGTGTCTCCAAGTGTACTTCAAAGAAAGATAATAAATTACCTGATAATATTCCTCGTCATCCTCCTCGCTGTCGCTGTCCTGCGCCATGTGGCTCTTCGAGAAATGAAAAGTCTGTGGAAACACCATGGTTATCGTGTTCTTGTCGTCGACTATCGTCGTATGACAGGATTCCGATGGACTATTCGGCGCGCTGAGCGGTTCCCCTTTGATCTCGGCGCACCCCACGTCTTCAGGTACTAAGTTGTTGCTTCTCTTTAGGATAATTGTTGAGGTAGACGACGTCGACGACGACGAGGACAATTCGTCGCGGCCTGACGCGGTGTTCATCGAGATCGCTGGGAAACACTCCTCCTCCATATCTAAAAATCCAAAAATCGTCGCATCTCGATAAATAAAAGTCACAAATCCAAAAATCATCGCATTTCAATAAATAAAAGTCACAAATCTAAAAATCCAAAAAAACCAACCTACACTACCGGCCAAAAGTTTGGAATCTCACTTTTCATCAATATTAAATCTGCTTATAGATTTGAAGTTTATCTCAATTCTACATTTATCAATTGATTCGAACGATAAAAAATTCTCAAAGTCGCTCGACTTTTTTCTGGAAATTTTTGTGTAAATTGCAATGCTCAGTGATACCAAACTTTTGGCCGGTAGTGTGTGTATCTCAAATGTTCTCTTCAAATTTAAAAAATTGAAAAAACAATTTTACAATATAGAAATTATATTTTGTATGAAAATTATTTGTTAGCATATATAGATAACGAAAATTCGATCAGCATCAATAAAACTAGTGCAACTTCTTACATCCTTTAATTTATTTCATCCACGATGGAAAATGAAATTGCACAGTGTGTGAAGTACAAAACGTAAAATTCTGGAAATGCGGGACAAAAATTGCAATAATAAATAAACGAATCATCAAAAGAATTGCGAAAAGAACACTTACGTTAAAAAAAAACCCTACAATTAAATTCGCAATGTTAAACGAAGAAACTTTCGAAATGATCAAAATTAAAATTACCAGAATTTTCGACGAGAGAACGGTTTCACGTAAAATCAAAGAAAGAAGAGGAGCAATCCATATCGCAATAAAATGGTCGTCGACGAGAGCAGCGAAATTACGTGCTTGAATGCGTACAATGGCATCACGAGCAAACAGATAGTGACAGTAATCAGATCCAGTCATTATATGCTTCTGATATAGCATCGTGCGACAGGAACGGTATCGTCTTGAGCTGTTAATGGATCGACGATGTGCACAGGTCGCGCAAATCGAATTAAAAGGCGCTGATGATTCTGCAAATGTGTACCAACCGCGTGGATTTCACCTCTAAGTCAGTTGTATTATCGTATCGATCTTATGTCTCTTTTTCTGTAACGTTATATCGTGCTACCTTTCAAGAGGATGAAGTGGTGTCTCGTGCATTAGCGACAGACGTTCCTCAAAGTTGAGTGTAGGAAAAATGAGAATGAGGTATACTGTGGCGGCTGGATGCGTCAGTGAGTAATAGTGATTGGATCGTGGCTTTGGAATTCTTCAGATTTATTAATCACGATATTAAGTTTCATTCAATTTGCGAATGACGATGTTCAGCTTGTGAATGGTGTTAAGATTCTATGAGTTCGCTAAGAATAACGAGAATCTCTGCTGAGAATAGCAGGAAGATCCTTTCAATTTGCTAATGATCACACGTAGAAACTTTTTCAACTTGCTTATGGTAATACTAAAATCCTTTTGAATTTGCTTACAATCACACCAAATCACACGAAGGTCCTCTAAATTTGCTTAGATATAGTTATGTGCTTTGGTAGTAGGGTTCTTACTGTTCACCATAGATAGTGATAATGTCACTTTCCTATTGTGGATCTATTAACGACGTGATTAGGATCTTAGAGGTCCTTTGAAGTTAGTTAGTTCTCTAATTAAGCGGTACCTACTTTGGATAACGAGCTTATTAATGGAGAATTTCATCGGCAAAATTGGCTGATTGACGTTGGCGATCGGTGATGTTACCTAAGTCCACTGGTGGTTATATCACGAAAATCAGCAGAATCTGTTTATAGACTTGGAAACATCGCTGGATTCGTAGATGAGTTCATGTTATTGTCGATATCGACTAATCGAAAAATTCAATCAAACCACTGTTTCAATTAGTCGATATTAATTTGAAAACGTTTCCTTTATAATTGCAACCTTTTTATGAAGTTCCAAAAAAAAATTCTTTGCTTTGTAAACTTTGAAAAAAGTTCAGTTTCAGTTATCATTAACATATGTGAAGTATGTATTTCTAAACTTTTGAAAGATGCTGTACGAGGTTTGATCAGAATGTTTAGGGAATTTTTATTTACTTCAAGAAATATTTATTTATTCGTGATGTGATCCCCTTCAAAGTAATCCTCATCCGATATAACACATTTGTGCCAGCGTTGTTTTCAATCTTCAAAACATTTTTTCAATGCACTTTTTGGAATAACTTTCAGCTCGTTCAGCGATTTTGCCTTCAACTTACCTATCTATAATCGCAAACCGGTGTCCTTTCATTGTTCTCTTCATATTTGGAAACAAGAAAAAATCGAGGTGACGAACATGGGTTTACGGTTATAACATTGAAACAAAGATTCTTAAAGGACCAAGGCCAAAAAAGCGCGCCAAGTTCGGTCGAATGTCAAGGTTCTCCTTACTGTTTTCTTCGATTGTAACGGCCTGGTCCACTACGAATTCTTACCACCAGGTCATGAGGTCAATAAGGAGTGTTTCCTAGAGGTTTGACGCCGTTTGCGTGAAGCAATCCGAAAAAACGACCAGAATTGTGGAAAAACAACTCGTGGAAATTGCGCCACGACAACGCACCGGCTCACGCTTCGCTACTTGTCCGAGAATTTTTGCGAAAAAACAACACGATAGCGATGCCTCAGCCACTCTTTTCGCCGGACATTGCCTCTTACGATTTCTTCTTGTTTCCAAATATGAAGAGAACAATGAAAGGACACAGCTTTGCAACTATAGATAAGGTAAAGGCAAAATCGCTCAACTAGCTGAAAGTTATCCCAAAAAATGCACTGCAAACATGTTTCAAAGATTGAAAACAACGCTGGCACAAATGTGTTATATCCGATGAGGATTACTTTGAAGGGGATCACATCAATATCGATGAATAAATAAACATTTCTTGAAATAAATAAAAATTCAGAGAACTATTTGACCAAACCTCGTACGTCAAAATAATCATCAGTGAATCTACATATTAAATTACTATACCTATTATTCAAATCGTCGAATTACCATTCCTACAAGTGAAGACATCTAAATCGTAACACAGTGAATTTATCGTTAAAACTGCAAAATAATTCTCACTGTATATTTTAATACTTTGCAATATTAACCCTCCGTAGGCAACCTGGATTGTTTGTGTCCAAGTCCAATTTCTTTACGGTTTTAAGCTTTCGAAAAATCTAAAAAAATTCTGGACAAGGTAATTATCAAAGTCTCCACTACATTATACAATTATTCACTAAATCAAACGTTTAAAATTTTCTTCAATAAAAATAGAAATTCGTTTCGAAGAAACACGCAAGTGAAATTTCACTTAGCGTCGTCAAAGGTTGCCTAGGGTTGCGAGGGTTAATATTCGATAACACCTAAAACGAAGGATTTATGCCACCGATGCATTCTAGGTGTAATAAAAATGTTCATATGCTCTCACCGTCGATTCTGCTCCGAATATCCAACGATTTATGGTGATCCAGGTTAGTAGAATCGATGGAGGAACTGGTGGTGGAGAGGGAGGCGCCAACCCTGTCGGCGGACGAGCCAGAATTAGGTGTATGAGGGTTGGCACCGGGTGTCGCGGGGCTCGGTGGAGGACTCGACGCCAACAGACTGTAATTGTGCTCGGACTTGATCGGTCGTGGACCTCCGAGGGCGGCATCCGTCATCAAACGATCCCTCAACACCACTCCCATCGAAGATTTGTCTCGTATGCTCAACGCATTGCCCCATTCTTCTTCCTTGGTCCCCATCAGAACGTCCTGGCCGAGGGCCTGCAAGTAAAACACCCTTATCAAAATCTTCCCTCTGTTGGTCATTTGTTCGTCTCAATAAGTAGCTTTCCTCGGTTAACAATAGATCACACAAATTACTCATATTCAAAGTGCAAATGCTGTTGAATTTTTTCTCCACAATGGACGTTCCATTTAATAATCGTTTCAAATATTTCCTCATAATTTCTTCTGTACAATTATATCATCCTTCCTTCTTTTTGTGCGAAAGATACTTTGCTTCAAGTATCTTTTGCACAAAATTCTGATCTCTCTGTTCGCATAATTCCTTTCATAATTTACCCACACTTCTCAGAAAGAAATAACCCTCAAAAACCAGTGCACATCCAGAAGTCCTCCACAATGCACACTCCACTCAGTATTCATTCTAAATTTCTTACGTACAATTAAATCCCCCTACTTAGTATCTTCTGCACAAAATTCTGTCCTCCGTGTCCACATAATTTCCCTCAATTTACCATCGACAAACGAGCAACCCTAAAAAGTCACTGCTCGTCCAAAAGACACTCTCTCTTAACCAATCAACCCCAAACACCTTTCACCCTATTTTCCATAAAGCGACAAAAAGAAAAAAGATCCACAACATGCAGCACGTTAAACGTGAATTTCCTCGCACACAGACCACAACTATCTCTCCTACTCAGCGTTAGAAAGGTCTCTCATCTCGATATTACGATGCAGTGGCATGGTTGCCAAGGCACACGCGGCGGCCAAGCAGAGAGCCAAGCGGACGAGCTCGGCAAATCAATGGACAGGGGAGCAACGTTCGAGGCTGTCAATGGCTGCCAGTTGTCTCGATAGAAGGTGTCAAGGACCCCGCTTCTAAAATTGTACGCGCTCGTATCCCGAAGCGGTCACGCTTGCCTCGACCAAGGAGAAGGGCGCGAGTCGAGCTGGTCAAGTTGAAGGTCGAAACTGCCTGGCCGTGCCAACACTTGCTTCTCTCGCCCTTGTTCCAACAGCGGCCAACGATCCTAACCTGGCCCTTCTACCATGCAGACCCTTTCCCGATCCAGCAATGCGGAACTGCGAGTCAAGGTCAAGGCGCAAGGTTCTCTCGCCTTTTTCTCTTCTTTGTGGCTCTTCGGAAGGGAAGAATCGCTGTTTATTTTACTTGCAATGGGGATTCTGTGGTGTTTTGTGGTTTAGAATGGACGGTTTGTGGTTTCCTTTTTTTTTCTGGGTTTTTTTTTTTTTTTTTTTTTTTTTTGTGGAAGGTTCATGAGGAAGTTCGAGACTGAAGTTCTTGAATTGTTGTGGAAGGTGTAGTTGGGATTCTTTAGTGAAGACACTGGAATTTTTTTAGAGAAATTCTGAAGCTAGAAAAGTGTAGTGTAATTAGTTCAACGAGGGCAGTGAAATTTTCTTATTTAGAGTTACGAAGCTTTGGAAAGTGATTTGGAAGTTTTCTGATGGAATTGCGTAGCTCTGGAATTTTTGGGAAATTTTCAGGCCAAGAAAAGCATAGTGAAAAGTTCAGAGCCTTCTGGGGAACAGTTTAATTCAATGAGGACGCTGGAATTTTCTTATTCAGAGTTATGGAGCTTTGGAAAGTGATTTGGAAGTTTTCTGATGGAATTGCATAGCTTTAGAATTTTTGAAAAATTATTTAACCAAGCTAAATACAGCCGAAATTTAAAATTCTTCTGGAGAACAATTCCCTTTCTTGAGAATTAAACAAAAAGATTACTGAACTTTGCAAACCCTTCCAAAAGCTTTCAAAAACAATTGCAAAACTTTGAAACCTCCTTCTAATTTGTTTCTATCTTAGACTATAAGTTCTCCAATTTCTCACTGAATGAATGTAAATCTTGACTTTATGGTCAAAATTTTCCTACTTCGACAGTTTCTTCCATTCCAAAACGATGATTGTGGCCCCTCACAGGAAGCACTATGATTAAGCAACAGGAAAGTTTTTACTTTCCACGGTCCTTCCATTCATACATAAAAACTGACTCACAATTACTACGGTAGCATTAAAATAATTCGAATCTCTCGATCATTTTTCTCTCGGTACTTTCTTATATTCCTATACTCTCCGCCATTATGTCATCGTTGCATAATCTGCTGGAAGTGATCGTAGAGTATATTATTCGAAGGATTAGAATTTTAATCCCAGAACAATCGTCCAGAGCGAGGAACGGTTTCGCATGAAATTTAATAACCCGACTGCCTAACCACAGTGAACTTCTATTATACTTTGCCAGCCGGTTGCGAAAGTCCAGATACGTTTTGAACAGATACCGTTACACGTGATTGCGTTACATGGCTGCAACGGGGAAAGATATTCTCAGCCTCCATTCGAAAGTCGATATACAATGAACTGTTGCTATTATAAAAGTGAACGTCCTATACCGGGTACCTCGAAAATAACTGCAAAAACGAACTTTATTTAACTAAAAATACAGGGAACAGTCTACAATCGGTGTGTTTCGAAAATACCAAGGCATATTTTTATGTAATCTATCTAACCATCGAAATAACCACACAGAATACCGATAAAAATTTATTTTCGACGTAACTATTAGGTGTACAAATTAATTCGTGGCCTTTGTTTCGTGGATTTATTTATTTAAAAAAAAAATATATATAGTTCAGTCTTGGAAATAATCTCCATCACTTGCTATACATTTATTCCATTTCTCAGGCAGTTGGCGAATTCCCTTTCGAAAATATACACCTAATACATTCTACACTTGTTCCAACGTTTCTACTTATCTCAACATTTTTCAACCTGCTGCATTTCCTCGAAGAAAAATGTTCTTCCCTTCGAAATATTCACCATTTGAGGGAAACTCTTTACCCCTAAAATTATTTCTCAAATATTCGAACACCAAGAGACGAACAGACTTGAATGGTAATTTGAATTTCGCGCGTTCAACGCAACCTGTAATTCCAATACGAGGCTAAACCTTTTCTTTTTAAAATTCGCTAAATTTGACTCGAGGTTTTGCACAGATACTCCCAAATGTCACAAGAACTTAACAGCAAAGCAATATTTTATTTTTTCTATTTTCTAATTTTCAATTGTAACTTAACGCGAATTTAATTCGGCTAAAAAATGAATGGAAATAATAATACAGAAATTATGCACATTTTACGTGAAGCAATACTGCAGCGAAGATAAAATAGAAAGGTTCTCTCAAAAAAGCGATTCGAGGGACAGAAAATTACTCGACGAAAGAGCACTCGAACACAATCGTGACTCCGGAGTAATTCTATTCAAGCTTCTTCCGTACCTTCATCAGCTATTTCAGTCGCGTCGCGCGTTTCGCTCTTTCCCCCGCTCGTTATGGGTCGTTTCTCTAACGGACGGAGAACAAAGCCGGTGATTTCCAGAAGCAAGACAATTATTCTGCCCTAGACAATTAGCAACCAACAACCTGGGACCGCGGCTCGAACCTCAGCGACACTGTCTCCTCTTCAACTCTTTTCCCAAACGGGAAAAGCAATTTCTTCGACTGACTGAAGTGAAGAAAGAGAAACGAAACGGGGGGATTGTGTACTTTTCAACGTTTCAAGTAGCAAAGTTGTCACGAAGTTGTGACACAATTTTTATTCACGATTTTCTGGGACGAATATGGTAAATAGCTGTTTCCTTAGAAAATTTGTCGTCGAGTGTTCTGCTGTGTATATTTGCGAGATATTGTTGAATTAAAAAGAGAAGGGTAAACAGAAAATTGAATAGAATAAGAAAGGAGTATAGAAATAATTCCCAAAAATAAATAGTTTTGTAGAATTTGTGAGATAGTATTGAATTAAAAATAGAAGGGTAAACAGAAAATTGAATAGAATAGTAAAGGAATACGGAAATGATTGCCAAAGATAAATAGGGAATGGTTCTTTAACAGTGAAATTATGAAAATGGTTCGTATTTCCAAAGATAAATAATTGGTCAATCTTGTAACAGCGTAATTTTTGAAAATTTTCTTGGAAAATTTGTCACCGAGTGTTCTATGGTAATTATGAAATATTTTTCACCTGTTTCTCTAATTTTGTGTCGGTGAAAAGTTCCTCAAATTTGTAACACAATGTAGATTTTCAATTTTCATACACGATTTTCTATAACAAATATAGCAAATGATAATTCTCCTTGGAAAATTTATCATGAGTGTCCTGACGTAATTGAAAGAATTAAAAAGAAAAGGACATTCGTTTAAAACGAATGGTTTGCATTTCTAACGACAAATAATTTTTCAATCCTGTGGCAACGTAATTTTTGAAAATTTCCACGAAAATTGCTCCGAGGAATGCAAATTTGAAAAACACTGTAAATTGGCGTTGTTTACAGATCTCAAGGGTTTCCAACGTTACCCTCAATTGCATAAAAACCTGCAGTTTAGCAATTCAACATTATTTCACTCACATTACTTTTATCATTCCTCCAGAAACCAGCTAATAATCATTCTACAGCAACTTGAGAATAATATTCAACATAAAAAGAAGAATAAAAAAAAAAAAGAAGATATAAAGAATTCTTTCCTCAAAAATAACTGGTTCGTACATCACACGAGAATTACTCGAATCTATTGCACTGAATAATAGGAGCACGGTCGTTGACCCTATTATTCAAGTTAAAAAAACGAAGAAAGAAGAAACGGAACAAGTCAGAGAATTCCTTCTTTAAAATTCTTCTCTTTCCTTTTCTCCTGAAACTTTTGCGACGTTTTCTCCAGTTTCAGGAAGGGGAGTTGTTAGACAGCAACCGGTCGCGTTGCCAACTGCGAACTGGCACGTTCAGCGACTGGATCCACGAGATCTGTTGCGTTTCAGCAATGCGGAACTCATACCCAAGGTCGCGACACCACTCTTCCTTTTCCCCCTCGTGTCGTCGTCTCTCTCTCTCTCTCTCTCTCTCTTCCCTTTCTATCTTTCTCCATTCTGTGCGCTCATTCTAGCACCCTGTATACGCTTTTCTGTTACGCTTCAGTCGCAACGTCGCCATTTATCTAGCACCTTCCACGTTTCACTTCCGCCGGAAG